ATTAACTATTAATAACAGGAGGTGAAATGCAGCTCCAGACTAGCTTTAAATGTGGCGAGGTCATCAGTACGCTAATGTTCCAGTTGACCCAGATTTATTCTGCGTGTCCCGTTCTCCCCAAGTCCAGACTTTCCTGGGTTCTTCCCAGGAACATACTTGGCGAGGGCAGGAGTCCGTACTCGTGTTTTTGTGAATTGAGAAACGGCCTTAGTGTTTTTTTTATTTTTTTTATCTTTGGGAAGTGGCAAAGGCAGAAGCTGCCACTGATGAACAGCCCAAACATGGTGCTTCTACTACCTTTCTTTCCTGCATGTTGCTTCTGGTTTGTGTTGCACACTTTCATGAACGTCCTGCACTTTTGCTTTTTTTGCCATAGGGGACGATCGTCCCTCGGTCTCTAAGCCTGTGGGGCCTCCTGTCGGTTACCCCCTGCCAGGTAACCGTGTCATCCTCTGTGAGGGCTGATGAGGAGGATGGGTCTTTGAAGCTAAGTCAGTCCTGCATGGCTCCGCATATTTCGGGGACCATCACTCATTCTTTCTATGGGCTGAAGAGTCGAGGTCTGCCGCAGATGATGGCTTTTGAGGCTACAGGTCTGAAAGCCTCAGACCAGGAAGGGGCCGTGGTTGTTACAATTGGAGGATGTCAGATTAGAGCCAGGAGAACGACTAAGGACAGAGGACTGGGACATTGGGTCTTGGAGACAGACTGCCCTGTGTTACAGGTAAGTGTTTATCTAACATTTTATCCCTTTGAATATCTTATTTCTACCCTGTCAGACTTATAAGAGCTGAGGTCAAAGAGACGACTCTACAGGAAATCCAGATATGGATAATAAGTTAAATGTAAGAATGACACCTGAATGTATAATCCAACAAAGGCTCACGCGAACGCCTCAATGGGGACGCACCCTGGAGGCAAGTGGACGGCTACAATGGAGACTGATCTAAAGGGCGGAGGAGTTTTTCTCAGACTGGAGGCTAAACCCTGGCCAGAGCTGAGTCTGGACAGCGTGCTGGATCATGACAGTCCTGCCCTCAGAGCTCTGCCAAGAAGAAGCAGGCTGACATTAAGCAGCAGTTCTGGAGGAAACCATGGAGAGGTTCTGCTTCAGATGGAGCAGTGTCATCTCAGAGCCGGCTGGAATGTGACGTCATATCCCGGGCTGGTGATGTCACTGCTGTACGACAACAACTGCACGGCGATTCAGGTACGGTTACACACAGGGAAGGTATAACTCCAGCAATAACACTGAGTTAATGGATAATTTTCCTTGGCCTAAAGGAGTGGGGCGGTCCGAACACCATCCAGGCCTCCGGCTCACTCCTCCACTCACCACATTCTTTTAACACGCACATCTTCATGGTGATTGACGACAAAGTGTTTCACACTGTGCTAACAGCAACGCAGGCAGAGGTATGAAAATAGAAATGTTTTTAGATGAACTCAAAATCCATCTCGCATCGTGACATCATGTGCCCCATTTCTACTACCCTCTGAAAGCCGTATGTGCTGAGTTTGGACTGAGCTTGGATCAGTTAAGCGTGCGTTAAGCTTGGTTCTTACGACCATTTAGACCTCACAATAGCACGGTTCCTCCATCCATCCATTTTCTTCCTCTTTATCCAGGGCCGGCTCGCGGAGGCAGCAGTCTAAGCAGAGATGCCCAGATTTCCCGATCCACACACACCTCCTCCAGCTGCTCTGGGGGGGGGTCCAGGCCACACCAGGCCAGCTCAGAGACATAGTCCCTTCAGTGTGTCCTGGGCCTTCCATGAGGCCTCCTCCCAATAGGACATGCCTGGAACACCTCCAGAGAGAGGAGACCAGGAGGCATTTGGAACAGATGCAAGAGCCACCTCAGCTATACAGTAGTAGCCATTCACAATTTCCCCACTTTCCTTGATGGGCCCTTTGCTGGCCCTTGGCTGGTCCTTGGTTGGCCCTTGACTGGCTCTTGGCTGGCCCTTTGCTGGTCCTTGGTTGGCTCTTGGCTGGCCCGTTGCTGGCCCTTGGTTGGCCCTTGGTTGGTCCTTGGCTGGCCCTTTGCTGGTCCTTGGTTGGCCCTTGGTTGGTCCTTCACTGGCCCTTGGCTGGCCCTTTGCTGGTCCTTGGTTGGCCCTTGGTTGGCCTTTTGCTGGTCCTTGGTTGGCCCTTGGCTGGCCATTGGCTGGTCCTTGGTTGGTCCTTGGTTGGTCTCCTTTAATTCCTTTTTAACATCAATCTTGGTACTAAAATATTCTGTCATGATTTCTGGACATTAAGATCTAAAGAGAAGCGCCATCTCCTGGTCAGACCCTGTAATTCAGTGAAAGGGTGGAGTCAGAGTAAAAAAAAATTCACACCGAGGAGTAGGGAAGTGGCTGGACGTTGGAGGGGATTTGGCTGGGAGTTGAAGGGGAGTAAGGTCCCATTCATTTGGCGTTTGACTGGGCAGGCCGATGATGAGGCGGCCTTTCATGACGTTCTTTGTTATCAGAGAACCACAGATGAACCACACCGAGCCCTACTGATGAACTAGAACTAGGTCTAGAGCGGTTCGGTTGTTTCTGGCACGGTCCGGTTCAGTTGCGTTCCATTTACACTCAACAGTTACCTCGGTTACTGTGCTTGGACCATTCATTCTCTGCATGGTTTCAGACAGCTAGTGTAAATGGGGTAATGCTGTGCTTTTCTGCTGCTGCAGGGTCAAAAGGAAGCATTTCTTCATCTAAACCATTCAATGCCGCTGCTGAAGAAATGTGGCCTTCCCACCAAGGGTTCACTTCATATAAAGTCTGTGAATCATGAGAAGGATTCATACTCATTTGAAGTCCACAGCAGTGCAGGAACTCAAAAGGTAAATTAACTCTATAATGCATACTTAAAAATGTTCACCTAAACAGATGTCTGTGCAAATCCAGCAATGAAATATTTCTCAGAATTTATATCAATAAAGTTTTAAAGCAGAATAAAGTCATTTGCTTCTAGTGTCTCAGCTATGAGGAGACTACAGAATGCTCTTGAAACCTGGCTTCAAGGAAGTAGTGTCTGGAAGCCTTTGACTGACAGCTTGACATTCATAAGTGAAGATGGCGGCTGGAGGCGGGACAGTGGCGTAGGCTTCTCCAGTGTTTGCGGTATGTGGGGTACGCGTCAGTCAAAGGCTTCCTAACACGACTTCCTGTGTGATGGTGTCTGCAAGGCCCAATCAGGAGGAGGCTTACAGAAGAGGTTTGTCTCCGCCCCAACCTTTAAAAACACATTTTGAAAATCAGTCCGAGGCCAGAGATGTTTTTGAGAGCGCAGCAATCCTCGAGCATGGCTGCTGGATAGAAATCGTGCGCGGTGAGATCCTGAGCACGATCCTGAGTGCGCATGGAAGGGGGGTTTTTCTCCTCCTGGAGCAGCAGTTTCTCACGCATGTGGTGGTAGATAATAAACAATGCACAGAAGTTGATTAACATACATGCGAGTTTGTTTATTTTGCTCGCAGGCCTTTTGAAATAAACATGACACCATTAGACTTGGCTTGTTTTAGAAAAATAAAATGAAATAATTGCTGAGACTTTGCCCCAACTGGGTCATCACCAGTCATCCCAAACATGGCAGCAAATCTTCAACAGAATGGCTAAAAAACAAACTAATGAAGGTGTTGGATTGTTCTGGTCGATCTTCCTCCTGTGGAATCGTTGACTTTCGACCTTCAGGAAAGAATTGCAGGATCAAACCAATTGAAGCAAAGCAGTGAAGAATATCAATCATTTAATCCCTGAATGAAGTCTTTAAGGCTACGTTCACGCAGCAGCCTGAAGCCACCGGTGGTTGGAAAGTTTAGATTTCTCTAACTTCATATATTAATTTATTCTATTTACTCACTATAACATTTTTCACTCAGCCTGTTTCACCTGCAAGGCCAAACAATGCCTGAGTGAGGATGTTTGTAGAGCAGACGTACCTTCTTCCCAAAGATAAACCAGATTCTTTCTCATAAATATGAGAAAGAATCTGGTTAAACATGTTACTGTTTAACCAAAGTGTCTGTAATTAGTTTTGACTCTGACTACTTTCCGTTATTTGTAAATGAAGGAAACACACTCTGCCCAGGCACAACAGGACGGAATACCAAGCGATAAGTCCGGTAAATAATTTTTTGCCCATATGCGACCTGGATCGGATCTTTTAATGGCAGTCTGAACAACAGATCCGATTTTTTCCAATGCGATCCAGGCCACTTGGCTCTGTGGTCCTGAATCCGATACGAATCCGATCTTTTCAAATGCGACCTGCGTCTGAACGGCCAGATCGCATTCATCCGACCTGAACTGCATTAATACTCAACAAAGGTCACTATTCTGCGTCTTGCTACGCAGAAGCGCGAAGAAAGACGACAATCATGACGGCCGATGATGCGGAGAGAGTCTTTTTTTTAACCTTCTCAAAAGATTGAGTTTTTAAGGTTGGGAAAGGTTGCTTGTGATGTCATTGTTTCCTCTACTGCGCATGCGGGACAATTAAGCTGTAAGAATGCAGTCCACACAGGAGATCATATACAAGTGCATATATTTGGAAATGTGAACAAAAATGCAAATATGCTGATGAAGGTTCTCAGTCATCCAAGTCATTCCGTAAAAATTAAAAAAATATCCACTGGACTTGGTTTCCAAGTTTGAAGACGTTTCTCCACCTCTCCAGGAAGCTTTCTCAATTCAAATGTCTGGATCCGCAGTGAGTTTGAGTCTTATATAGACAAAGCTTTGTATTGCTTGGAAACATGCAAATGTTAACCGATGAATGGGTCGTTTAGTTCCATCGTTAGCTGGTAATAACTGAAACCTGTCTATGATTCTGAGGGTCGGTCGTTAAGGAGGTATTGTTCACTGACTGGATCGGATGGAGAGACGGAGACAGGATCTCTTCCAGATATCACCAAACCCCCCACCCCATCACAGAGGAACGAGGGACCTACCCGCTCCAGCCGGTGAACAAGACCTCCTTAACAGTCATTTGAATTGAGAAAGCTTCCTGGAGAGGTGGAGAAACGTCTTCAAACCTTGGAAACCAAGTCCAGTCGATATTTTTTGAATTTTTACGGAATAAAAATGCAAATAAATATTTCACACAAAAATCGGAAATTAGCATTAAGGTCTGCAGTGGGAACATAGCCTAAGAAAAAGTTTCTGCTGCAAACTGTGTTTTTGCCAACTACGGTACATAGAATAATAATAGTATGATTTCTTTTGTTGCATTTGTTTTCTTTTTATGAACCCGTTAAACATCCCAGACTTGAAAAAAGGTTGGAGTCTCTTAGCTATG